TGCCTCTATCTCTTAAGTGGTTTTTCAAACTGATTTATTTTTTTTGTTTACTGCATTTGTCTCCAGATATTATTTCCACAAGATGTCTCCCATTATTTGTGTGTGTGTGTGTGTTTGTGTGTCTCCCCCTCTCCTTACCCTGTTTCTTCTTCTGCTTGATTTGGTCTAAATTTATCTCCTTGCCGTGCAGAGAGACGGTCTCTCTTCTTTTACTATCCTACATTAATTATACAAGCCTTGTGAGTTCACAGAGATTGGCTTTGCTGACATATTCTCTGTTTTAATACCGGAGTATCAAATATCATTTTATTGTGTTCTGTTGGCAATTTCGCCCTTGGCGTCAGGCTCAGCGTTTCGAACTCCCTTAAGCTTGGCCCTTGATAACACTTCTTCTTTCTTATCCGTTTTGTTCATTTCTCCACCGATCTATTTCTTCCGACAAACTGGGAAATAGCTTGTACGCTTCAGATCCTCACCTCACTGCAATTCAGCTATCTTTTCCCCTGGCTGTTATGGGAGCAGCTGCTAAACTTTGTGCGAAGGGTGAGGAACAAAAGTTCAAGTTTAAAAAGAAGACCTGGTTTTGTTCTCGGCAGTTTTTCTGCCTTGGGGAGAGTTTGCATCACAGAAGCCTCTCTGGAGGTTTTTCCAAAAAAAGATTGGACAGCCGTTTGTCCACAGTGGTATGAGATCTCCTGCCTTGGGTAGGGGGTTGGACTAGAAGATCTCCAAGGTCCCTTCCAGTCCGCTGATTCTATGATTCTTGGTGATTTCTAAGCTAGGATTTGTGGCTTAGCATGATATAAGAACTAAACCTGTGGGTTTAATCCATAAAAAACCAGTATTTGTTTGAACCGTAGTGAGCAAGCTATAATGAAATAGTAAATATGTCCTTTTTTTTAATTCTAGATCTTCAGACGAGCAGACAAAAATGGTAAGTTCCCTCCTTCTTTCTTTCTTTCTTTCTTTCTTTCTTTCTTTCTTTCTTTCTTTCTTTCTTTCTTTCTTTCTTTTTTTTCCGATGTTGCATTGCTGAAAAGATAAATATTGATTCTTGCAAAGAAGAGGGTTTGAGAGGGAGATATGTAGACAGTCTTTAAATACCTGAAATAGAATCCTACAGTTTTAAAAAAATCAGGATTATTTTAGAAAAGAATATTTGTAGCTCAGGGTTGAAATAAAGTTCCTTGGTGCTCTCTGAGCTTGGTGGTTTTCTTGCAGACGTTTTGTTACCAAACTAGGCAACATCATCAGTGCTAGAAGGGAATGAGGTGCAAACTGATGATGTTACCTAGTTTGGTAATGAAACGTCTGCAAGAAAACCATCTCACTAAAAGTATCTGCAGATACTTTGATTCTCACCAAAAGAATCTGTAGATATTTTGATTCTCACCAAAACTCTCGGTAGATACTTTGATTCTCACCAACAGTATCTGTAGATATTTTGATTCTCACCAAAAATATCTGTAGATATTTTGGTTGACACAGTACCAACATAAGGTTCCTTATGGGCATTCTCTTCTGCTTCTATTGCAATTTCTATTCTTGATCAGTTTCCTATTAATATAAAATTTATTCTAATCTGTGTATATCCACTGGATAGCAGTGAGTTATATATAATGACTTAAGCCTACATATTTCAAGAAAGCCAGAATAGTTTCTCCTCTCTGATTCCTAAGCTGCCCTGTAAAAAGCCTTGGGTATTTTAATTAACAAATCAAATACACATAATAAGGTAGTTGCTTTGTTTTTGTTTCTTTTTAACTAGAAGAGGATTAAGACCCCAACATGCGTTGCTGAAGACAAAAATGTGAACTAAAAGTAATTATTGTAATCCCCATTAGACTCAGGCTATGAATGTGGATTTAGATATCTACAAAATCTCCACCAGGTGCTTTTGAGCAAGACTGTGTTGGTGTTTGTAAATTATTCTGGAAATAGAGACTAGCGATTCTATTAACTTTGCTAGCTGTAGAAATGTAATGCAAAATTGGGCCAGTTCTTAGCAGAACCTGAAATGAACAAAACTGTCATCCATCTACTGTACACCTGGCCAAATTGAAGATGCACAGTGGTTCCCAGCATGCGACAATTGACAACATCTGGCTGGATCTGATTTTAGCAGCTTTGCAATGAAGCAGCAAAAAAACTCAAATACCCAGATTGTTAGGGAACTCAGAGGCTTAAAAATAGCTAAGAACAAATCAGCTATTGTCATACACTTCCTTCCTTCCTTCCTTCCTTCCTTCCTTCCTTCCATCCTTCCTTCCTTCCTTCCTTCCTTCCTTCCTCTCATACTTTTTATAGAATCAGCTCTAAATACCTTTACATGTTCAGAATCATGCAGATCCATATTAAAAGACATGATAGATCATCCTTAGGGATAGTTTTTATGGTAATTTTGTTTTAAAAATAGATTGGATTCTCAGAAAAAATTGAAAGCATATATTGGCATTGATTTAGGTTAGAAATAAATATCCTTCCATGTATGGTCCATTTTCTTTTCTCCATTTGCAGAAAGATTGTATGAAAGAATTTAGTAGTAGTATGGAATTTATGGTTTATGGCTTAATGTATTATATGAACTTATCCAAATGTAGCTCAGGCAAAATCTGCGTTCAGCACAGCGTATGATCTCAGTCCAAAAAATGTTGAATTTTCAAAAGCCATTAGATAAATCCTTTGTGAGATCAACTTAGAATTCAGTATTCTGCTCTAGGCATTCTGTTCAGAAATATAGCATAGTTATTGTTAAAAATATAAAAAGGGGCAATTAGGACTCAGTATGAAAAATAGTCTCATTCTACTTGAGGCTAACAGAAATTATTTTAATAAAAGAACATGAGTAATTGTAGCCATAGAGACAGACCTATCCACCAAATCTGAATTTGCTCGGTTTCCATTTCCAACCTTAAGCAACTCTGCTCCCTTTGCTTTTGAACACAGTGTGTTCAAATCACGCGTGCCTGGCTGAGGAATTCTGGGAATGAAGTCCACAAGTCATAAAAGGGCCAAGTTTGAAGACCCCTGCACTAGATCACCCAAAGAGAAGAAATATTATGCTCTAATTGATCCGAGCTTAAAAATAACCTAGCAAGCATCAGCCAGTAACTATTTATCTAATGTTATAGAAGCCCATTAGGAAGAAAAAAATGGCTTGATTAGAATTTAAGTATGTTCATTTTTCATTAGGAAATTTGATTAAGTAAATCTCTTCTTGTGGCAGATAGATCTTCAAATATGCCTTTCTTGGCAAGGACTTAATGTTTCAGTTAGCTAGTAAGAAATGAGGGTAGCTTCATCTGGAACTATTGAGATAGACTAGATCAGGAGAAACAGATGCCGCATGAAGTCCTGGAACTCTTTATTGATCTAGGGCAGCCATCTCCAAACTTGTCAACTTTAAGACATAACAAAATAACAGAGTTGGAACGGACCTTGGAGGTCTTCTAGTCCAACCCCCTGCTCAAGCAGGAAGCAGGGGCTGCCACAAAGAGGAGGGGGTTAACTTATTTTCCAAAGCACCAGAAGGCAAGACAAGAAACAATGGATGGAGGCTAATCCAGGAGAGAAGCAACCTGGAATTAAGGAGAAACTTCCTAACAGTGAGGACAATCAACCCGTGGAACAGCTTGCCTTCAGAAGTTGTGTGCACTTCATCACTGGGGTTTTTAAGAAAAGACTGGATAACCACTTGTCTGAAAGGGTATAGGCCCTAGGGTCTCCTGCTTGAGCAGGAGGCTGGACTAGAAGACCTCCAAGGTCCCTCCCAGCTCTGTTCTTATTGATTGATTGTGAAGTCCTTCAAACGTTGCATCAAATTGCAACAGAATGCCCCCTCAGAAAGTTCCCTGGATCCCTACATGAAATACATCATCTCAAGGGCACTGCTATCCAACGTCTAAATGACCTAGATACCCAGCCATAGGTTTAGTCACTCCAGTGACTACTGATACATAATTTAATTCTATTCATAATTTTATTTATCACCTGTACTGTCTGTTTTTAAAATAATTCACTGCTCTAATGTTCTATATTTTGCTGTACATTTTATATGCTGTTTTTGTAAAGCATTTATGCACTAATGCTGTATTCTATTATGCCATTCTTTCTTTCTATCTATCTATCTATCTATCTATCTATCTATCTATCTATCTATCTATCTATCTATCTATCTATCCATCCATCCATCCATCCATCCATCCATCCATCCATCTACATACACACACACACACACACACACACACACAAACAAACACACACACAAACATACATTTCACCAGTTCCCATCAGCAAAGAAAAAGATGTGAACATCTGGAAGGAGGTCAAATAAGAGATCAAATCTGCCCGTTGCACTTCGATTTAGAAAAAATTGGTATCAGATAGTTTCCTTAGACCATTTTCGAAAGTAGATCAGCCTTTTAAAAATCCCATTGTTTAAACCTCCAAGAAGACATTTTGAATGGAGGAAATTTTGGGAGCATTTTGAGCTGGAGATCGAACAAAAATACATTGCAACGAAATTAACGCCTGCTTGGTGCTTCCTCCTAAATGTTATTCCTCCTCCAGGGTTTTCTCCGTTTCACTGTGTCAACTGTGAATTGACAGTTAGGAAGGCATGTTTACAATTATTCCTGCATTAGACAAATGATTGCCCACGCAAGCACATTTGCTGAATCCCCCACCCCCACCCTTCGGTGCTGACAAATCTGCTGGATTTTTCCCAAGAAAGGCAGAGGAGGATACCAAATTGTTAATTAAAGAAATCAAATCCACGCTCAAATCCTCGTCTTTTAGTCACTCTGCAGAAAGTCCAAAGTGGATTCTTCTCTTCTTTATATAATTGCTCCGGGTTATTTGTTCCGCTTGTTGGAGAATATGTTGAAAAAAAATTAAATCCTCTGGGTCTTTTGATACATAACAAATTTGAGCTCCTTTGAATCTCGGCGTGCAAATTTGTATGGAATTTCTTTTGCACGACCCCTTTTTCTTTCATGCCAATGTTATTTGCAAGCAGCTTTCCTAAAGAGAAAGGGAAAGGTAAGGACATGCTTGTTTGGAAATTAATTAGGAAGTGCTATTTAAGTCAGTTCAAATATGATATCAAATATTAAATTATCACCCAAATTAATTCCTCCTCTGGTGCTTTGACCATCTGGATAAAGTAATCTCTGAAATAAACTTGACCCAGCTTTCTAATCTTCCCAGATCTATTTGCTCAAGCCGTACAAGTTTACTTTCAGACCTTTGTGTGCACTACTTGATGTCAAATAGCCAAATGAAGGCATATTCAACAAGAATCATTTGTCTTGTGTGACAAGAGACAGTTAAAGAAAAACCTATTCAAGCAAACTTCTTTCAGAGACTATTTTGTCTTGCATTCCTTGTCCGCTGTTACATTTACATACCATTTCTTGTAAGATACATATATTTGTATGCAACTATTGCCAATAGCTTTTATTATGAAATTTGTTAGCCATCTCATGTCAAATGACTCTGGGTGGCTTACAACATAAAAACATTAAAATCATCAAGGCAGATAACATGAAACCATGAAGCTTTTAGAAACATTCCATGCATTCATCTTTTTGGTCAATTTCCCCCAAGCCTGTGCATTTTGTGTCTTTTTCTTAGAAATATCCCAGTACAGATAGTCCTCAACTTATTAAATTGCTAAGTAGCTTACACTCATTCAAAATTACAATGGACCCAAAAAAAGGTATTTGTGATAAGGATTTGAAGTTCCAACATCCAGCCCTCTGTGATCACATGATTGCATTTTGGGTGTTGGCAACTGACCCATATTTACAGCTGTTTGCAGCAAACCACTGTCAACTGACTATGATTTATGATGCTGGAAACCAGCATTGACCTCTGGTTTCCGGCCAAAATCCATCCATTGCGGAGAATGGGTTTGCTTGAATGACTGCAGATTCAGTTAATCGCTGCTGCGAAAAATGTAAAATTGGGTCAGTCATGTGGTGATCTGCTTAATGACCAGCAGGAATTACAATTGATATTCTGGGCTCAACTATGGTCATAAATTGAAGGCTACTTGTAGTGAGCAGCTGTGCTACACTGCTTTGATAGAGGAGGAAAAAAAAATCCTGATCAATCTGTCCCTGTGTGGAAGAATAGAATGGCAGGTATGAGGCAGTCGGGGGCAACCTTAATTTCCTGCTATTTTGATGCCGACCGCTGTATTTTTTTTAAAATGGCTGCTTTAGCTTTGAAGTGCACTAATTATGATTTGATCTCCAGTGATGAACCAGACCAGCTAGCTTTTTAGCCCCGTAGGTGGAGAGATGTGCCTTTTCTTCTCAAACATTCATTAGCTGATCAGGAAGAGCAAAAAACGAAGCGAGCATCTTGGTGGTCTGGGAATTTAATGGCTAAAGTATGATTTGCTGCAGACCCCTGAAGACGCAGGTTAAGTCCCATCCCAACCACATCAGTGCTTCTTTGAAAAGGTCTTTGATTAGCAGAATTTGCCTTATTAAAGGAGTCTTCCTTAAAAGGCTGCGCACGTTTGAAAGGCTTAACTGGCTGCAGCCTCAGGAACCTCGCTGCGTTTGGCCAGCAGGAGGGGGCTGAGGGCCACATGCAACATTTATGGAGCTGCGCTCTCATTTGAGATCACAAAGACGTTCTGACCAGCAGGGGTATAAAATCTAGAGCAACAGGAAAAACCGTGGGTCTTTCTCCAAAGTGGGCGAACAGAAGCCCAGCCAAAGGAAATGGATTAGTTGCAGAATAAGAAAAATACAGCATTCCAAATAATAACTAGGTCATGCTCTTTTATATATCACCCAAAGCTCAATGATGCTAGGCCAGGGTAGGCAACCTTGGCTCTTTTATGACTCGTGGATTTCAACTCCCAGAATTCCTGAGCCAGCCATGCTGAGGGGAAAGGGAGAGGTTTCCGCTAGGCGGAGAACAATTAATCAGTGGAACGGAAGTTGCCTCCAGTTGTGGATGCTCCATCACTGGAGGTTTTCAACAAGAGATTGGACAGCCAGTTTTCTGGAATGGTATAGGGGGTTGGACGAGAAGATCTCCAGAGTTCCTTCCAGCTCTCTTCTGAATTAAGGAGAATGATCAACCAGTGGAATGGCTTGCCTTCAGAAGTTGTGGATGCTCCATCACTGGAAGCTTTTAAGAAGAGACTGGACAGCCACTTGTCTGGAATGGTATATAGGGTCTCCTGCTTGAACAGGAGGTTGGATTAGAAGACCTCCACGGCCCCTTCCAATTCGGTTATTCTGTCCTCAAAGAAATTGCAGTTGATTAAAAAAAAGAAGGCAGATGGGATGATGTGAGGGGTCTCGGTTTTCTTGCCAAAGATCTAGGTGAAGAGCCAGGTCTTCATGGCTCTTCTAAGAGCAACCACTTAAAAGTTAAAGTAGTTGCCACTTAAAACTTAAGGGGCAGCATCTAAAGGCAAGAGGTGAACTTGAACAGATCCATCTCTAGGGTCTGAGACCCTGAAAAGAGTGCAGAGAAGAGCAACAAAGATAATAAAAGGTCTGGAGGCCAAATCATATGATTAATGGTTGAGGGAGCTACGTATATCTAGTCTAATGAAGAGAAGGATTGGGGTGATGTGATTAGCAGGCCTCCAATGTTTGAGGGACTGAGAGAAGAGAGAGAGCAGGACAAGAAACAATGGGTGGAAGAAGAGAGAGCCAACTTAGAACTAAGGAGAAATTCCCGCAAGTGTTTTCTGAGCCAGAGAGAAATCCTACATAATTCCTCCCCTTTCAGCTCTGTGTGCAGATTTCTAATTACAGTATTTGTACAAGGTCTGTATTAATTACTCAGTGTGAGTAGAATTTTCAGCTGGGGCTGCCTTGAAGCTCATTTGCTCTTTGTTCAGCCAAATCAATTAATAGTTATATTTCAGACAGTATAATTGTATGGATGAATAACGTGCCCTGGACAATACCTATTAAACACATAGTTTTTAAACACAGATTCTTTTTTAAGATTTTTTTAAATCCCACCTTTATAAGTAACTCAAGGTAGTGAAGATACCTAATCCTTCATTTTTCCCCAACTACAACCCTCTGAGGTGGTTTGGGCTGAGAGAGAGGAAGTGGCCCAAAGTCACCTTGTCAGCTTCCATGCCTAAGGCAGGACTAGAACTCACCATCTCCTGGTGATTGGCCCAGTGTCGCCCCCCAGCTGCTTTTCATGTCTAAGGCAGGACTAGAACTCACCATCTGTTGGTGATTGGCCCAAAGTCACCCAACTGCTTTCTTGCCAAAGGCAAGACTAGAACTCACAGCCTCCTGGTGATTGGCCCAAAGTCACCCAGCCTATCTATCAAACCTCTTTTAAATGGAGGTTCCCTGAAGATTCCTGTTCTAGGTGTATTTCTACTAATGGCAGAGGAAAAGTGGCATTGAAAAAGTGGCATCTCTCTCCATGCACGTTTTGATTGCTTTCCTTTGGCAGTTGTGAGTGTCGCTTTGAACCAAGCTCAGACTAAGTCTGAGACCCCTGGGTGACACAAAGGTATCGATAAGGTCCCTGTTTTTACGTATAAAACTACGAAGACCTTCGAAATTACCGTGCTATACTTTATGGCGATCAAAAATCGTCGTAGTCTTGTTGTCTTTTTAGTAAATGAGAAGAGTGTTAACATACCGTAAAGGTCTTTATTGATCCGTAGACAAAAAAAATTTTGTTGCCAGCTTTGATAATCCAAAGTGATTTATATCCCCTCCTCCTCTTCCAGATCTGTTGTTATTCTATCTGGGAGGAACGTGACTTATTCCCAGCAGTTGCATTTCTAGGGAAATTATTGGCTAACCAGACTTACACTTCACTAAGACAGACCATTAGAATCTTGCAAATCTGATAGAGCTTATCCTCCCCTCCCTCTTACATCGGGGAAAAGCTAGCCTGAATCCCTTTTTAATACAGGTAGACCTCAACTTATAACTATTCATTTAGTGACCGTTCAAAGTTACAGTAAAACTGAAAAAAGGGACTTACAACCAATCCTAACACTTAACTTGCCTTCAAAAGTTGTGGGTGCTCCATCACTGGAGGCTTTTAAGAAGAGATTGGAGAAGGCATTTCTCTGAATCTCCTGCTTGGGGAGATTCAGGGGGTTGGACTAGAAGACCTCTGTTCTGCACCCACTCCCCCTTTTCTCCTGTTAATCCCCCACACCTTCTGTTCTATTACTTACAGATGATGGGAAATTGTCCTTGGAAGAATTCCAGGCCTTCTTTTCCGATGGGACTCTTAATGAGGAGGAGTTGGAAAAACTCTTCCACACCATCGATTCTGACAACACCAGGTGAGTCCCTTCAGATTCCTTAACCGTTTTGACCCATCAGGACAGGCACTGACTTCTCCATCTCTTCCTGGACTGAGCTGACGTGTCAACAGCGATGGTGGAGCCACTGAGAACTCTGTGCACAAAGAAGTGAGACAGGGAGGACTCTATTGGCACATGGTGTCAGGGATGTTCTTTTGAGGTTGTATAATGTCAGGCCTAAGACCAAAGACGACACCATGAAATCCAATTGAGTCCAATTCTTTATTTGCTTCCATTTAATAGACCAGGCATGTCAAACTTCCGGCCCGTGGGCCGGATGCGTCATGCCGATACCGCGACCACCCATTGCCTGCAATGGGGAAAAAGTCGTGATATGTTGTGTATGGGCTTGTGTCAGGCGCTAAGACTCCATAGGTTCTAGTCAAGCTGATTTATTGCTCATGTCTATACACAAGACTCTAATCGACTAATGGTCAGCACTAAATTGATGCTGGATAAGAGTCAACACAATTCAAGAGGATTTGGACTTAGATCGCTTGTGGGAATGTAATGATTCTAGGCTGATTCCTCTCTTGACTCCTCCCTCAGGCTCTGCCTGGCCTTCTCCTGTATTTTGGGATGCTCAGGCGACATGGAGGTGACCTTGCTGATAGGAATAAATAAAAGGTCTTCAAAATTTAAACTTGTAAGAGGAATTAATTGTAAGAGGAATTAGCTGTAAGAGGAAGTAGCTACAAGAGAAAAGAGGTAAAACAAATAGGTAAAGGTAAAACAAAACAAACTGAATAACAGGAAAACTAAAACTAACTGAATAACAGGAAAGAACCTGTTGTTCTAAGAACCCATACAATAACTAAGAACTCAAAAACAAGTTAAAAGAGCACGCCCAATATGCGATTGAATGTTATCTGACACACCTTGCATACATTGTCTGCTCATTTAAATGCACATGCAATGTATGATTTAGTATGTTTGGGGAGGGTAGCAGGAAATATGTAGAATGCGTTTGGAGAGAATGTAATCTCATAGTACCTCAGCCAATGGGGAATGAGGAGGGATGGACGGCCGATGTAGGGAATATATAAAGATGTTGATTTGAGATGATGAACTTTAGAGAGAACCAAGATTTGGTGGCTTCTCTCCCCGCTTATCGCAATAAAAAATACAAAGAGTTCTTCAGTGTGTCTTGGCTATTGGTTATTGGTCGATGGTCAGGCGAATTTGCCACTGACTGCGAAGGGAAGTAGCCAGGAGCACAGACAATGCCAAGGGCATTGGGGTAATTGATCACACAGAGGGTGTGTGTGTTGTGTTTGTGGTGTCCCACATCTGGAATGCCTGGTCTAGAGAGACATGCCGGGAACCTACATTGACACCTTTGAATGGCAAACAAAGAAATTTGCTTTTCTATATGCAATTTCTATATTTTTAGGCTCAATTAGATTTTGAGTACTTTCTCTGTATTGGATTTTATGTTTCCTATAATTACCTTTTTAAATTTTGTAATTGCCTTCCATTGTTTGCCCGTTTGTCATTTGTCGTATTTTTTAAAGAACTTTTAAAAGAGAGAAAGATCTATATATACTTATAGTCATTATCCAAATATAGTTGTACTATATTTTAAGGCTTAATTAAAGTTTCATTACCTGAATCGTGAACCTTCCACTGATTGAAAGTCTAATTTAGAGAAGTAAAAGAAATATGTAGTTTCTTTTCATGAAAAATGACACAGTCACAAAAAAAGAAATTTTCACACAAAAGCTGTGCAAGGAAAAAAAATCTGCTAATATCCCATAATTCAATTCAATATAGTCTAATGCAAGAAAATAAAATAAATGATGCTCAATATATATATATATATATATATTATTTTGGCTAAAAGCCAAAATAATATATATATATATATTAAATCAAAGCTATGAAAATATATAATTGCTGGGCCAAATAAATGATGCTAATATATATATATATATATTTCTAATAACACTAAAACTAAAACAGTGACTCCTGGGTGTGATCATCTTTCCAAAAACAAACTGTGAACACCAGGAGTATATTAAACTATACAAAGTTTAATAACATAAAACATAAAACAAAACTACACCAAGCTTTCGTCGGACTCCTTCCGACTTCGTCAGGGTTACGTGCCAGTCCANATGAGTCAAGAAGAACTGGTCGGGTTTTGAGTTAAAGTTTAAATTTGTGGTATATAAAATTATGTGTTAATACGTAGAGAGATGTATATTTAGAACTTTAAATATGATAAGGAACGAATTACTAGGATCATGTATACTGGAACGTCATGTCATGTCCCTTTTTGTTTTAATTGTTTTGTCAATAAAATTTTTAAAATTTTTAAAAAAAAAAAAAAAAAAAGTTGTGGGTGCTCCATCACTGGAGGCTTTTAAGAAGAGATTGGAGAAGGCATTTCTCTGAATCTCCTGCTTGGGGAGATTCAGGGGGTTGGACTAGAAGACCTCTGTTCTGCACCCACTCCCCCTTTTCTCCTGTTAATCCCCCACACCTTCTGTTCTATTACTTACAGATGATGGGAAATTGTCCTTGGAAGAATTCCAGGCCTTCTTTTCCGATGGGACTCTTAATGAGGAGGAGTTGGAAAAACTCTTCCACACCATCGATTCTGACAACACCAGGTGAGTCCTTTTAGATTCCTTAACCGTTTTGACCCAACAGGACAGGCACTGACTTCTCCATCTCTTCCTGGACTGAGCTGACGTGTCAACAGCGATGGTGGAGCCACTGAGAACTCTGTGCACAAAGAAGTGAGACAGGGAGGACTCCATTGGCACATGGTGTCGGGGATGTTCTTTTGAGGTTGTATAATGTCAGGCCTAAGGCCAAAGACGACACCATGAAATCCAATTGAGTCCAATTCTTTATTTGCTTCCATTTAATAGACCAGGCATGTCAAACCTCCGGTCCATGGGCCGGATGCTTCATGCCGATACCGCGACCACCCATTGCCTGCAATGGGGAAAAAGTCACGATATGTTGTGTCTGGGCTTGTGTCAGGCGCTAAGAATCCATAGGTTCTAGTCAAGCTGATTTATTGCTCATGTCTATACACAAGACTCTAATCGACTAAGGGTCAGCACTAAATTGATGCTGGATAAGAGTCAACAGAATTCAAGAGGATTTGGACTTAGATCGCTTGTGGGAATGTAATGATTCTAGGTTGATTCCTCTCTTGACTCCTCCCTCAGGCTCTGCCTGGCCTTCTCCTGTATTTTGGGATGCTCAGGCAACATGGAGGTGACCTTGCTGATAGGAATAAATGAAAGGTCTTCAAAAAATTTAAACTGGTAAGAGGAATTAATTGTAAGAGGAAGTAGCTGTAAGAGGAAGTAGCTGCAAGAGGAAAGAGGTAAAACAAATAGGTAAAGGTAAAACAAAACGAACTGAATAACAGGAAAACTAAAACTAACTGAATAACAGGAAAGAACCTGTTGTTCTAAGAACCCATACAATAACTAAGAACTCAAAAACAAGTTAAAAGAGCACGCCCAATATGCGATTGAATGTTATCTGACACACCTTGCATACATTGTCTGCTCATTTAAATGCACATGCGATGTATGATTTAGTATGTTTGGGGAGGGTAGCAGGAAATATGTGGAAGGCGTTTGGAGAGAATGTAATCTCATAGTACCTCAGCCAATGGGGAACAAGGAGGGATGGACGGCCGGTGTAGGGAATATATATAGATGTTGATTTGAGATGATGAACTTTAGAGAGAACCAAGATTTGGTGGCTTCTCTCCCCGCTTATCGCAATAAACAAAACAAAGAGGTCTTGGCTATTGGTTATTGGTCGATGGTCAGGCGAATTTGCCACTGACTGCGAAGGGAAGTAGCCAGGAGCACAGACAATGCCAAGGGCATTGGGGCAATTGATCACACAGAGGGTGTGTGTGTTGTGTTTGTGGTGTCCCACATCTGGAATGCCTGGTCTAGAGAGACATGCCGGGAACCTACATTGACACCTTTGAATGGCAAACAAAGAAATTTGTTTTTCTATATGCAATTTCTATATTTTTAGGCTCAATTAGATTTTGAGTACTTTCTCTGTATTGGATTTTATGTTTCCTATAATTACCTTTTTAAATTTTGTAATTGCCTTCCATTGTTTGCCCGTTTGTCATTTGTCGTATTTTTTAAAGAACTTTTAAATGAGAGAAAGATCTATATATACTTATAGTCATTATCCGAATATAGTTGTACTATATTTTAAGGCTTAATTAAAGTTTCATTACCTGAATCGTGAACCTTCCACTGATTGAAAGTCTAATTTAGAGAAGTAAAAGAAATATGTAGTTTCTTTTCATGAAAAATGACGCTGTCACAAAAAAAGAAATTTTCACACAAAAGCTGTGCAGGGAAAAAAAATCTGCTAATATCCCATAATTCAATTCAATATAGTCTAATGCAAGAAAATAAAATAAATGATGCTCAATATATATATATATATATATATTATTTTGGCTAAAAGCCAAAATAATATATATATATATTAAATCAAAGCTATGAAAATATATAATTGCTGGGCCAAATAAATGATGCTAATATATATATATATATATATATATATATATATATATATATATATATATATATATTATTTTGGCTAAAAGCCAAAATAATATATATATATTTTAAATCAAAGCTATGAAAATATATAATTGCTGGGCCAAACCTAACCAGAGATAACATGAAGATGCAGATAAAATTAGAAGCAGGATAAACTTGCCCCATATAAAATATACTTCACAGTGCATAGAAGCAGAAAATATCTGTGCACATATAAATAGCACTCACCGAAGAGGAAAAACGTACATCTAAAAAGCAATTAATTATGACAAGAAATGCTAGTAGAAAAAGCTGAGGGAAAAAAACCCCAGTTATTGCTACCCAACCTGGTGTAAGTGAAAAAGTTTGAAATGCATTTGGCCTTTCTTTCAGACTCCAAAGTGGCAAAACTTTCTTTCGGTTTAGGTGAGTGGATTGAGAAGCAATTGGGTTTTTATCTGGTCCGGCAGAGAGAAATCTTCTGTTAAGCAGCCAAAAGCATCTCAGGCTTTCCGTGCATCAGATATTACAAGGAGGATTTTTTAAAATCTTTGGCTTAAGATTTTCTATCCAGATTAACTACACGTAAGAGAATATCTGTAGCTCAGGATTGACTTGGTTCTTGGTGCCCTCTGAGCTTCGTTGTTTGCTTGCAGACATTTCATTACCCAACTAGAGAACATCATCAGTGCTGAAAGGGAATGAGGTTACCCAACTCTATCACAAAAAGGTCACTGTTATCTGGGATTTAGACAACAAATTAACCGCTCATTTCATGAAAAGAGTGTGAACCTATCGCGCTTGTTCTGAAAGTCTTCCGTCACTTCATCCATCACCGTGTTTCTCCTCCATTCTTTTCCTTAAGATTACTCTAATAATTTCACATTTTAAATAATTCAGAGCCTATTATTGTCCAGAATTCCCTCCTACCATCCTCACAGTAGGAAAGCTGGATAATGTTTTGTGGCCCACACTGTTAAGCAATGTAGCCTCATTCTCACTTCCCAGGTTAGCAATTAGTTGAAAATGTGTTTCTGGTTCAGACTGCATGTTTCTTTGGTTATTGCAAAATTCGGACGCAGAGCTAAAAATTGTCCTGAATTCTTGGGACTGTGCTTCAAGTGGGCGGAATCAGGGGAAATAAAATGCATGAAGCCAAATTTGGAGAAGGTGATTTGGGTATATCATCATCTTGAGATCTTACTTTTTTTCTTTGATGGCTTACAATTAGAGGGTCATCTTTTGGTTCCTTGTTTTATGAGACCCTGGTGTCTCCACTGCAGCCCTTCTACCACCATCTGAAGACGCAATTGCTGTCTTCACACAAGGAGAGGGCAGGGATTTATTGTTTGTTTATTCATTCAACAAACTGATATGGCTGCCCAATCGAACCAAAGGAATTCTGGGCCACAAACAAAGATAAAATTTCAGTACAGTTATCAAACATATTAAAACAATATTGAGAGCGAGAAGCATAACAGCTGCCATACAGAGAATGTAAGTGATGTTGTGTATGTCATGATCTCATTTGCAAGATGACATGATGACCTGCATAATCACGCATTAGTCATGCAAGTGTCATGGGTGGGAAAGAAATTGGAATGAATGGAATGAATGAATGAATGAATATCATCATACCTTGTACCAGGTGCCTATAGGAACCGTGATAGAAAATATTAATGAAGGCACCAATTGTAAAATAATTAACTTTTAAACATCTTGACCAATTATAATGGAGAGAGGGGGGTTGTTCTGTGATAGGTGATATATTAAAAGAAATTAAAATATGGGAGAGGGCACAAATTTCCAAGGCAGCGATCTTTTTTTTATGAGGTTGCTTTCCCAATATTGTTGCCTGTAGCAACAAATCATTGTGTGTTTACCTTTCTTCCAGAGTCTCAATTATATCATAGCTATTGTCAGTCTAAAAATAAAGCTGGTGAAATAAAACCTTTCCTTGTCTCAGCTTTTATATAGTGTCTTTCTCGCCCGCCCTCTCTAGAGAATTAGCTTTTGGTATTCTATATTTAAAAATGCTGATAATTCAGTTATAAAAGAAAAAGAAAACCCTAAAAACCAAAGAAACCCCCAAATAAAACAGACTTAATACTTCACGTGATCTTGATTCTATCCCTCTGTTAACGCAGCCTAGCACTGTGTTGGCTTTTTTGGCAGCTGCAGCACACGGCTGGCTCACTTCAAACAGTATCTTGCAGATCATTCTGATTCATCACATGCATCAATTGAGCCTCGATTTATAACAGTTATTCGTTATAACAGCTTCCAACTAAGACTGGAAGAAAGAGTTAAATCCGAAAAAGAACTTGAAGGTGAAAGGACCGTGCGTTGGGGCTGAGGTTTTTTTTTTCTTCCTCATTTTCTTGGGATTTTTTTTTTTAAGGACAGATGGATTGGAAGTTACTGGGCAAGACAGAGCTGTCAATCACTGGCAGCATTGGAAACCTTATCTGGATAAAAGATTGTGCAAAAACATGAGCAAAGGGAGGTGAAAATAGGCTTGCCACAGAGTCAGTTGATAAAGAACCTCTGCTTATCTCAAACCCAGTGGCAACTGAAATAGTTGGGTGGGCTTGTTTTGGGGGGGGGGGAATGAACTTCATATGAGGAAGATGGTGACCCAGCCAGCTAATTTTTTAAAAGAATTAAAATATATGATAAATACACAATATACTTGTAACTCTAAAACAAAAATAAACAATAAAAGCAGCCTGAATGTGGAGCTCATAAACATCCAGGTAGCAATAGCGATAGCACTTAGACTCATATACCACCCCGTAGTGCTTTACAGCAGTCTCTGAGAGATTTACAATGCCAGCATATTGCCCCCCAATAGTCTGGGTCCTCCTTTTACTGACCTCAGAAGGATGAAAGGCTGAATCAACCTTGAGCTGGTCAGGATCGAACTCCAGGCTGTGGGCAAAGTTCTAACCACTGCACCGCCACAGCTCTACAGTATATATGAAAAGCAATATATCAGGGCTCCAGAATTCCTGAATACCCGACTATATCTCCCACAATATTGTGGCCAGCATTATCTGCCCAGGGAAGAGTTTACGGGTTAATCGATTATCTTGCTATTTGTGACTTTGTTAGCAGAGAGAACAAGACTCTGTTGTGCTCCTATACACTGTAACATCAAATAGGACCAGTTGAGGAACCCTTGTTCTGAAAAAGTCCTGGCATGTGACTTTTGAAAGCTAGGTTTCAAAGAGAGCAGCGTTGTGTAAACGCCTTCAAACACATCCGCAAATTCTTTCTGCCTTACTGGTTGTGAATTGTTTAAAGTTAAATTTTCTCCTCTCCCCCCTTCCCCCCCGCCCGCATTCTCATTCTTTTCTGTTTCTTCTTTCCTTTCAAGTAACGTGGATACCAAGGAGTTGTGTGGTGAGTACCTTTTATGTCTTGGTTGCACAATGAATGCTGGTTTCCCGTTTGTTATTTCAATATAGGATTGGCCAACCTGGACAACTTCAAGATATGTGGACTTCAACTCCCAGAATTCCCCAGCCAGCCAAATCTGGGAATTGAAGTCACAAGTCTTAACGTTGCCACAGTTGGACACCCCTGTTTTAACAGGACAAAATTACTGACAGTGAGAACAATTAATCAATGGAACGACTTGTCTTCAGAAGTTGTGGAAGATCCAACACTGGAGGTTTGTAAGAATTGATTGGACAATCATTTGTCCGAAATCATATCGGGTTTCCTGCTTGAGCAGGGGGTCAGACTAGAAGACCTCCAAGATCCCTTCCAACGTTGTTATTCTATGTTCCAGTGGCGGGGTTCAGCCAGTTTGCACCACTTCGGCAGAACCGGTAGCTAATTTTTTGCTGCCCGGACCCAGAACGGACTTCTGGAAGCGGCATCCACACAGAGAACCGGTTGTTCCCCTATTTGAATCCCACTACTGCTATGTTCTGTGTTCTCAGCCCTTATTTAAAGGTCCTAATACAAGCCTGTATTTGCAAAATGTAGCAAAAAATGGTTTCCTAGTCCCATTTTAGTCGGACAGATGGTTTAGAGCGTGCCCTCGTCCAAATAGCAGTTGTGGGTTTTTTTTATTTCTGAAGGTTCCTGGCCTATGCGATGGAGTTTGACCGTTATCCTTTCTCCAAAAGGATTGACTTTATCCATTTCTCTTTTGAAAGCCAGCTCTGCACCCTAATTCTTTTTTCTTTTCTCTTTTGTTATGACATGGGGAGGCGACGGCAGCTGCTGAAAATTAGGCATCCGAGTTCTATGCTTTAACATTTTCCCCTTTCTAAGATGAGAGGCAGTGATTTATTACTAGCATTTTGCTAATAAGGTGGATGGCAGAGCAGTTGGCTTTCCGTGGTCAGCCATTAGAGCCGTCACTAGGAGAGGCTGTCAGCTGGTACCGTGCTTTTTCTGAAGTTGCTGTATTATGAATCAACCTTGAAGCAGATCTGTTAATCTCTCCCTCTTCCTTTTCTCTTCCTGGTCTTCAGATTACTTTGCTGACCACATGGGAGATTATGAAGATGTGTTGGCATCACTGGAAACACTCAATCTCTCCATTCTGAAGGCCATGGGCTACACAAAACGGGTGAGTTGTCAATGAATAGCTACCACAATTTGCCCTACACTGGAACCTACCAACTGGTATCCAGCAGAGCAGTGTACCTCTTCGAGCAGAAACACAAAATAGCATTAAACGTGCAATTAATCGTAATTGTGCCCCAACACAATCAAAAGAGGCAGTCCTCTGATTGATAACTCTCAGCAAACAAATAAATTAGCCCCCCTATAAATTACCACAATTAAGTTCATGGAGTTTTGGCTGCAATCATAGGTTGTTAGCCAGGAAATCGCATTGAACTTGCTGCTACATTCACCCCCCCCCCCAAAATACATTCAGCTTGGGTTAATGGGTTAACCTTTAGCAAAGTTGTGCTTTTCTCTCCATTTGATGTGCAAACAGCCTTGGTAAAAAAAGAATTAGAATTTGCATTGGCATTGAAGTCGGGTTGCTGTTAAAAGGATGAAAATGTCAAACGGGGTTAATTTTCTTTAATCCTGTTTGTTTTTTCTCTGTGCTGGTCTGTCCCAAATAAGAATAATTTTACTGAGTGAAAAGAACAAGAATGCAGTAAAGTCCAAGCTAACACACAAGCAGATTTTATTCTGATGTGCTAGAATGCAGGTGGGTTTAGAATTAAAATAGCGAAGGACGAAGACTGTTGGGAAAAAAAACAGATTTTTATACGGAAGCTTGCTGTAAGATGGGAAATGGTAAGAATGATTTTTTAAAAAGTAAAAACTCTGTTTTGGACGGTGTTCTGAGCATAAAAAGTTTCTCGCATGCAAAATGAGATAACAAAGACAAATTATATTCTCTGGCTATTCATTTCTGAAAAATAGCTTCTCAATTATGCAGAACAGCTGTTCTTAAACTCTTGAGCAAGGGCTTGCTTTATCTCTTTTCTCCTTGAAAAAATTAATAAAAGGAAAAGTGGATATTTTTTATATACAGTTCTGGGGTTTTTTTTCCTCTCTTGTCACTAATGTAACAGAAAGAATTTCTCTCTTTTAAATTTTCTTTTACTTCTAATGTCAATGCAATGTTCCAGAAATGGCCTGTTAGTTTCATTTTATTAAAATCTTTGCTACACTCTTGTTTCATTTGTGAAGTGCTGGTGCAATCGTTTTTAATTGGTGTTTATCCTTTGTATCCTGAAAAGACTGGAGATACTTTCTTTCTTTCTTTTAAGGAGGCATGTGGCAATTATTTTCTGTGGGGGAAGCTCATAAATGATCCTCGGTAATTAGCGCTAAAGGATAGAAGCTAAACAAAATGTGGCATTATAATTACTTTCTTATTTAGCCAAATGGGAGGCTGCAGGATCCAGTTGGTAGGGGAAACCAAAGCTGATGGAAGCTATAAAAAAACAAGCCACTTATTTACTTTGTAAAAAGTCTTCATTTTAGAAATGATTTTTCCCCTGCTAATAATTTAATGTCAAAGTCAGTAGGTTGTGTTTGATTTCTCGTTCTACAAAGGGCAAACAGGAGCGAGCAATGGTAAGACCAAAAAAAAAAATCATCTATTTAAATGTAATGAATAAATAAATAAAATCAGGGGCATGAGATAAGAAAGCAAAGTTAAACCTGGTTTATATGTACATTGTTGATCACTCCCATTTTATCTTTTTAACCCTGAAAACCACCCATGGACCCTTACCCCAGGGGGCTCCAGACACTATGCTGACTGGGGAATTCTGGGATTTGAAGTCCACAAGTCATAAATTGCCAGCTGCAAACATCTGTTCATTTGCATTCTTTTAGCAAGTCATTAAAGCTACCTGGAGGTTTATCTGTGTCCTCAGGGTCACCTGAGTAATGCAGATGGGTGTGGAGCCTTCTTGGAAGGACTGTGTTGTAGACTGGAGATAGAGGGTATCGGATCCCTCCCCCTCTGTTGAGAGAGGGCTGTTCAGTTTTGACATAGATGGCCTCTTGGACCCCTCTTTCAAACCAGCAGTCCTCTCTGTCCAAAATGTGGACTTTAACAATGCGCTAAAACAATGCAAATGAACAGCTGTCTGCCAGGAATATAGATCTTTCCATTCCCCACCATCCAGTCAGAGCTGAAGAAGCTTCTTGGATGGGAAGCAAAACATCTTCAAAGAAAAAGAAGGAAGTCCAGTTGCCTCGTGAAAAAGCATCTTTGGGATAACGATGACCTGGATGGCTGAGAATCTCCATAGACGTGTCTTCTTCTGTTATTCCTCCTTATTCTTCCTTGTGCTGGAGCCCATCCCCAAGGAATTCTCTCTCTCTCCAGAATATGTGTGCTGGGCTGTTCTACACATTGTATTTATGTGGTTCCTAGTTATGTGTGGCTTTTAGTTGCTGATTAGGGTGTTAATAGTTGGCTTAATTAACACCATTAACACCCTAATCAACAATTAAAAGCTACATACAGCCAGGAACTATATAAATACAACACGTAGCACGTGTTCCAGGGAGAAAGCTATTCCCTGAAGATGGGCTTCAGCCCGAAAGCTTGGAATAATAAACCTTTGGTCCGTCTGACCAACTCAGATTGAATCCCCAAAACAATCTATGCACGGGTCGTGTCTATTTACTTTCGTTCCTCAGCATTTTGCTCCGTTGCTTGTGCTACCTCTGGAGGTTGCCTGTTCCTTTGTAAGGATTAATAATAATAATAATAAAGTTGGAAGGGACCTTGGAGGTCATCTAGTCCAACCCCCTGCTCAGGTAGGAAACCCTATACCATTTCGGACAAATGGCTGTCCAGTCTCTTCTTAAAAACTTCCAGTGTTGGAGCATTCACCGCTTCTGGAGGCAGGTTGTTCCACTGGTTAATTGTTCTCACTGTCAGGAAGTTTCTCCTTAGTTCCAGGTTGCTTCTCTCCTTGATTAGTTTCCATCCATTGCTTCTTGTCCTGCCTTCAGGGGCTTTGGAGAAGAGCTTGACTCCCTCTTCTTTGGGGCAGCCCCTGAGATATTGGAAGACTGCTATCCTGTCCCCCCTCATCCTTCTCTTCATTAGACTAGACATCCCCAATTCCATCAGCCTTTCCTTATATACTTTAGCCTCCAGTCCCCCAATCATCCTTGTTGCTCTTCTCTGTACTTTTTCTAGAGTCTCAGCATCTTTTTTACATCGTGGTGACCAAACTGGATGCCGTATTCCAAGTGTGGCCTTACCAAGGCCTTGTAAAGTGGTATTAACACTTCACCTGATCTTGATTCTATACCTTGTTAAAGATCTGGCTTCTTTTCTGCAGCTTTCTCCTGGAATTATGTCAGCAATAAGACCATCTTCAATTACCCTTAGTTACTCTTTTATACATTCTCTCCCACCTCCACTAGATCTGCTGAGCAAGCTCTAAAATAACTCCTCTTCACACCCAGCTCTTTTAGAAAGCAGGATTTATTATTATTATTTTTTTTACACATGGGCTCCATTTGAGAATGCCGTGTGTTTGCTGTTAAAGCAGTGTAACCCTCCTCTGCTGCACCAGTTCTCCGTTTAGCTGGGGCAAATGTGTTGTACACTTAAGAATTCGGTGAAACTGCTGCACTGCAGCCGTCACAATCACGTTTGATAGGCAGCTTGGAAGATGGCAGTAATTGACTGCCTTTCATTTGACGGCAACCTAACAACTCTTGACTGGTTGCAGATATCAAAGACTAAAGAAATGTGCAGAAAACTTCAGGGACCTGTCCAGGCAGTTGCTAGGAGTCAACAGTGACAAGGAAAGGAAAGGAAAGGAAAGGAGAGGAGAGGAGAGGAGAGGAGAGGAGAGGAGAGGAAAGGAAAGGAAAGGAAAGGAGAGGAGAGGAGAGGAGAGGAGAGGAGAGGAGAGGAAAGGAAAGGAAAGGAAAGGAAAGGAAGGGCTTTTCTAAAGCTAATGGCAAGCTATAGTCCAATTAAAGCCATCTTAAAGGGTGAACTGTGAAACTATATCACCTAAATTTAGAAGGGTTTTTAAATAAACAGAAACGACCAAATGGAAGGTTTAGGAAGGAGAGCAGCAGCAGGGCCTATAAACACCATTCCAATTCGGTGGCAGATGTTGTGTGAAAACACACTAAATTTTGTATTTTACGGATTGTAGCAATGCTGCGTTCTATTCGCTATTCACAATTGCTGGATGCATGTTTTCCAGACCACAGCAATTCTAGCAGAAGGACCTTGCTCATGCATATTTCAGGAGCAAAGATTGTCAGGTCACCTGCCAGAAATATTCATAAATATTAACCCTGAATAAATAAGAGCTGTTACCAATTCTTCCATCACCTTAAGCATTCTAGCACAACTGCTAGCCCTTTTATAGGTCCTGTCTGGAATTAAAAGCAGGCACTTGCTGTTGGTACTTTCTGTGACCCAGCTTATATCTTCAGCATAGCTGGTTTGGAAGCTGATGGATGATCATCCATGCATACCGTCAAAGTTTTCTGGCATGAGGGATTTCTGTTTTTCAAAAAAAGAGGAAAAGGAAAAGGAGGAAGAGAATTATAGAAAAGGAGACGATGGGAGAAACACACTTTAATCAGGATGGGAAAATCGAGACTTTATATTCAGAGATAACCAGTCTGCTGCTGGTTATCAGTTCTTTCAGAGCAACTTCAAGGAAGGATAATTGTCTTCCTGCCCTCTTCCTAATGGAAGAGACTCTAGAAAGAGTGCAGAGAAGAGCAACAAAGATGATTAGGGGACTGGAGGCTAAAGCATATAAGGAAAGGCTGCTAGAATTGGGTCTGTCTAGTGTAATGAAGAGAAGGACGAGGGGGGAAAGGATAGCAGTCTTCCAATATCTCAGGGGCTGCCCCAAAGAAGAGGGAGTCAAGTTATGACAAGAAGCAACAGATGGAAACTAATCAAGGAGAGAAGCAACCTAGAACTAAGGAGAAACTTCCTGACAGTGAGAACAATTAACCAGTGGAACAACCTGCCTCCAGAAGCGGTGAATGCTCCAACACTGAAAGTCTTTCAGAAGAGACTGGACAGCCATTTGTATGAAATGGTATAGAGTTTCCTGCCTGAGCAGGGGATTGGACTCGATGACCTCCAAG